TTTTATGGGTGTATTTAATCAAATCGCTGGATAAATTGTGAGCGATTTTGATTCCGCTGAAAATCGGTGTGTGGCCGGCGGAATGGAATTGAGGTGATTTTCCAGCGGAAGTGATTTCTGTGGCACCCTTGTATATGTAGGTAGAAAAGTGCAAAAATGTGCTTTTAAACGCAAAAACAATTTAATATTTTTAAAAGACGTACATGTAACCGAGAGCAAAGCAGTTTTTTGGCACACATAGGTCCCTATGCTTAACCTATGTAGAAATATCTGCGTCTCTGGCAAGACGAAAAGAAGCACCCGCAGCCCCGTTCTGAACAGCCTCTAATGCTCTTTGTCATGAAATACTAATTTTGTACTTTATTTGATTTGGTGTCTATTCCATTGTTTCAAATCTTTAGCCTTATGACGTTAAATACATTGTTGTATACGTATAATACAGACGTCGCTACCAGACTGCTTTTGGTATGCCTCTATTTTCTGCCGGAACATTTTAATATACAATTTTCCAGTAATATAAAGTTAGAGATATTTCTCTGCAATTACCTCAAAAATACCGTTTTTATAATATAATCACTTCAAAAATACTTGCAAAGACACCATGTCGTCCCATCAATACCACCAAATTGCAAATTTGCTGGAAAAAGTACGTACAGATTTTTATTTTCGAAATGAATGAAATACATATATAGTTGAGTTTTACACATGCAGATGACCTCAACCGATAAAGATTTTCGGTTTATGGCAACTAACGATTTAATGATGGAACTGCAAAAGGATAGTATTATTCTTGATGATGACTCGGAAAAAAAAGTAGTACGAATGGTCTTAAAATTATTAGAGGACAAAAACGGCGAAGTGCAGAATCTAGCTGTAAAGTGTCTTGGCCCCTTAGTCAACAAAGTAAAAGAAAACCAAGTAGAGACAATTGTTGATTCCCTCTGTGCCAATATGATGTCAAACACAGAACAGCTACGAGATATTTCGAGTATTGGCCTAAAAACTGTAATTGCCGAACTCCCTCAGTCTTCAAACTCTCTTGCTCCAAATGTCTGCCAGCGGATAACAGGCAAATTAAGTACGGCCATTGAAAAGGTGGGTATTTTTTCACTTGTCAAATATATTATTCACAATGATTTATTTTTTACGTTTTCAGGAAGATGTTTCAGTTAAATTAGAGTCTCTTGATATTTTGGCAGACCTACTCTCTCGGTTTGGCGAGTTTTTAATTCCCTTTCATAGCACCATATTAAAATCACTAATACCACAATTGGCTTCGTCCCGTCAAGCTGTACGAAAGCGTACTATTGTGGCACTCTCATTTCTTCTAATACAAGCCAATTCTAATGCCTACAATGGCGTCATTGATCATCTTCTCGATGGACTCGAAAAACCACCAAACCCTGCTGCGATTCGAACGTACATTCAGTGTTTAGCTTCAATATGGTAAGATATAATAAATATGAATATTAGCAACGTAATAACTGATGTTTATCTTTGTAGCCGCCAGGCTGGACATCGGCTTTGTAATCATACTATTAAACGCTCAATGCGTGTTCTTGAGCAATACAGCGAGCAGGATGACGATGAATTACGTGAGTTTTGTCTACAGGCATGTGAAGCATTTGTTATGCGTTGTCCCGATGCCATACATCCACATATATCAATGGTATGTAATCTTTCAGCTATGTAGATCTATTATATTGATAGAGTTCTTTGTTAAAAGATTCTTGCGCTTTGCCTTAAATATGTTACATATGACCCAAATTACAACTATGAGACGGATGATGGTGACACTGGATTTGCAATGGATACCGAAGATGATGAATACGTTGACAGCGAAGAATATAGTGACGATGATGACATGAGTTGGAAGGTTCGACGAGCTGCAGCCAAATGTCTGGAAGTTTTAATTGCAACTCGACAAGAACTTATTGAAGATTTTTATCGTACCTTAAGCCCAGCTTTAATAGCTCGTTTTAAGGAAAGAGAGGAAAATGTAAAGTCTGATATTTTTCACGCATATGTCGCATTGCTTAAGAGCACGCGTCAGACCGATGATGTGACTCCAGATCCCGACTCAATGGATCAAATATCGGGTCCAACTTCATTATTAATCGAACAGCTGCCACTAATCGTCAAAGCGGTGCAACCCTTAATGCGAGAAAAATCAATGAAAACGCGTCAAGATTGCTTTTTGTTACTACGAGAGCTCTTAAATTCACTACCAGGAGCTTTGGGTCCCCATTTGGACAGTGTTGTGCCTGGCATAAGTTATTCGTTAAATGATAAAAGTTCGACAAGTAATATGAAAATCGAGTCGCTAGGATTTCTTTATTCTCTACTTCAAGGTCATCCACCGAATGTGTTTCATCCACACATACCGTCATTAGTTCCTCTAGTAGTGACTTCAGTTTTCGATCCATTTTATAAAATTGCCACAGAAGCATTAATGGTGCTACAGCAACTTGTTAAAGTAATTCGACCTTTGGATACATATGATTCAAAATCTGGCTTCGATGCGACATCCTTTGTTGGGCAAGTGTATTCTTGCACGTTGCAAAAATTAAAAGTAACTGATGTAGATCAAGAGGTGAAGGAAAGAGCTATAGCATGCATGGGACAAATTATTGCTAATATGGGAGATATGCTAAAACCCGAACTGTGCGTTTGCCTACCAATTTTTATGGAACGCCTTAAGAACGAAGTAACCCGGCTAAGCAGTGTCAAAGCGCTTACTATGATAGCAGCATCTACGTTACGTATAGACCTCACGCCAATTTTGCGTGATGTATTACCGACTTTAGGTACATTCTTGCGTAAGAACCATCGTGCCCTGAAGCTCCACTCTTTGGATCTAATTAACAAAATTGTTATAAACTATTCAAGCAACTTTGAACCAAATTTATTGCAAACAGCAATAGTAGAAATTCCACCACTCGTATCTGATACAGATTTACACGTAGCTCAGTATTCTTTAACGCTACTCAGTACCGTAGCCCGGAGGCAGCCGCAAGCATTAGTTGGCATACATGAACAGTTCTTACCATCAGTACTTATCCTAGTTCGGTCACCGTTGTTGCAGGTATGTCAAATACTTAAGCTTAAATTTAATATAATAAAAAAAATTTAATGTCTTTATAGGGAACTGCATTAAACTGCACGTTGGAGTTATTTCAAGCTTTGGTTCAAACGCAGTTACCTGGCTTGGACTATCACTCCCTTGTGTCAAAACTAATGGCGCCAGTCTTGATTGGTGGTGACATGTTTTCTAGAAGTACAACTACGTCCCCAAATGAACAATTACAACTTCATAAACAAGCATATCATTCATCAGCCAAGTGCATTGCTGCTCTAACTCAACAATGCTCGCAAGTTGCGACACCATTAGCAACCAAATTGATAACAGACCTACAAAAACGTAACGATACAGAAGTAATTTTTTGTTTGTTAACAATTGGGGAAATAGGTAGGCACTTTGATCTGAGCTCCATACAAGTGCTCCCACAAACTATAATAGAATGCTTTGGTGCAACCTCCGAAGATGTAAAAGCAGCAGCGTCCCATGCCCTTGGAGCGGTATCTGTAGGCAGCTTGCAGACATATTTACCGCTTATTTTAAAAGAGATCGAAGTACAGCCTAAGCGACAATATTTGCTTCTTCATTCCTTAAAAGAAGTTATATCGTCTCTTTCTATAACATCAAGTGGACTCGCGCAGTTGTTACCATCTGTGCCATCCATATGGACACAGCTTTTCAAGCATTGTGAGTGTTCAGAAGAAGGTTCACGTAATGTAGTGGCCGAATGCCTTGGTAAGCTCGTGCTGGTCAACCCTGAAGAATTACTGCCGCAATTACAGCAAGCATTGCGTTCGGAGAGTACTACTATGCGTACTGTTGTTGTATCTTCAATTAAATTTACCATCTCCGATCAGCCACAGCCAATAGATGTTCTTCTTAAGCAAAGCATTGGAGAATTCCTTTTTGCGCTGCGTGACCCAGAGCCCCAAGTTCGACGAGTTGCTCTTGTTGCATTTAATTCAGCTGTACACAACAAGCCAAGCCTTGTGCGTGACTTGCTACCTACTCTTTTACCATGGTTGTATTCTGAAACAAAAGTTAAAAGTGAACTTATACGAGAGGTAGAAATGGGACCATTTAAACACACAGTTGACGATGGTCTGGACATACGTAAAGCTGCTTTTGAGTGCATGTACACCCTGCTTGAGCAAGGTTTAGATCGTGTAGATGTTATGCAATTTTTAGATCATGTGCAAGCTGGTCTTTGCGACCACTACGATATTAAGATGTTGACGTACCTAATGACAGCTCGCTTAGCCGTTTTGTGCCCGGATAAGGTGTTGCTAAGTAAAATATATTTTCAAATATGGTTATAGTCAATATAATTGTTTCTTCCCATTCTAGGACTTGATCAATTTATTCAACAACTACGTGATACATGTACACATAAGGTGAAAGCGAATTCTGTAAAACAGGAATACGAAAAGCAAGATGAATTGAAGCGTTCCGCACTTCGCGCCGTGTCTGCACTTTCTCAAATACCCAAAGCAAGTAAGTAGTCCTGGTCATATATGCCTCAGCGTAAGAAATAATCAAATATGTTCCCGTTTAGAAAAAAATCAACATTTAATTGATTTTCTAAAATCAATTAAGGAAACTCCAGAATTGGCAAAAATTTACGAATATATACAGAAGGATTCAGTCACTGGGGGCTCGGAGATTATTTTAATGGATCAAAGTTAAAAGCCCTGTGAGCTCGGACATAATTTTAATGGATCCAAGTCAAGCATACATTTTTAGTTTCTTTAATCTATCAAACATTTGCGTATGCACAAATAGCTATCTTTTCTGATAGCTTTCTAAAGAGCAAAATTGCAGTTATGTCTGAATTAAATATATTTAAATAAATATATATAAATTTATATTAATTTTTTTTAATTGACAAAAGTATTGAAAAAATAGTTTCTATATGAAAATTGTTCTTCAATTTTAAAGATAAAGCTTGTATTTTGGTTTTCACAAATGAAAAGATCTTAAGCTGCCTGCCTTTTCCTCTGGGGTTCATCAGAAACAGATTTACCAGCATTTTTACCACCATCAGATGTTGGCCCACTGTCCGAAACTGTTTCTGGTGGATGTTCAAGCACGTGATCAATAATACCCAGTGTCTTGGCCTCATCGGGGGTCATGAAATGATCCCGCTCCATTCGTTGGCACATTTCTTCATACGAGTTTTTAGCATGCTTAACATATATGCTAGTAAGTTGCCGTTTAATTTTGATGATTTCCTCGGCATGTATTAGAATATCGGTGGCTTGACCCTAGAGTAAGTAAATCGTTAGAAATGGTTGCATATGAAAATAATGTTATTCAAAATACTTGTGCGCCGCCAGAAGGTTGATGTATCATAATTCTGGCATTAGGTAATGAATATCGCATTCCCGGTGCTCCTGCCGCTAATAAAAGTGAACCCATTGAACATGCTTGACCAACGCACCACGTCGCTATAGGCGGCTTAACATACTGCATAGTGTCGTAAATGGCAAGGCCAGCAGTAACAACGCCACCCGGAGAATTTATATATAAGTGAATTGGCTTGTTAACATTCTCAGATTGTAAAAATAGCAATTGAGCAACAACTGTAGAGCTAATATCATCGGTTATGTTTCCCATGAGGCAAATGATCCGTTCTTTCAGCAGTCGCGAAAATATATCATAGGCCCGTTCTCCTCTGCCAGTCTGCTCTACCACCATGGGAATTAGGTTGATCGTCCGAACAGAAGTTGTTCTGGCAACACATTTAACCTATTAAAACAAGGGAATTCTACGCATTTTCTCTACATATAATCTATATACCAACTTACTGAATTATTTTGTAACAAGCGGCTGATAGCGTTTCTAAGCATTTTGCTGGTATGGCTTTAATGATAATTAACCAGAATGGCAAAACAGATGTTTTGAGAGGCTAAGCATAGACATTTCTAATAATTTTAGAGACGGATGAAATAGAACACTGGAAATTTAGACTGGGATGGCATACTTTGCTAAGGTGATACATATATATATATATGTACAACCAATGTACGTAAAGGTTTATGCTAGTATTATACTTACATATTAACAGATCGAAACCGACTTTTACTAATGGACTTCGGGCTGCAAGAATGCTTAATAGGCTCTGCCCACTAAGCCCCTCCCGGGGGAACGGTGGGAGTTTTTGAATATACCATCCATGAACAACAATTAAATGAGCATAAGAAACTTAAGCATAACCTGTGCGGAACATGTTATTATTTATTAAGAAAGAATGGATAATAATTTGGAATTTGTGTTGGCTGTCGTTCAACAGCAACATAAAATTATTTTGCTCAAGTTAATAATGTTGTTAAATATGAATAAATGAGTTCAAAATTAAAGAATTCGACGAGGCCTAGCGTAGATATGTACATGAATGATTCCAGCCGCTATCATGGACTGGGCCATCTCCGTAAAAACATGGGATTTCTTCCGTGGTCCCTGCAAACCCTCAATACTCTCCTGTCAAACATAAATCAAAATTTTCTACATTTCAGCAGACCACTTCAACCTTCCGCTTGTACTTCTAATGGCTGTAAAATTATAATGCATAGGAATAAGAAGCAAATGTATATATCCATTAATCATATAACATATACAATTTTCTGTTTCTTCAAGTTTTATTTATTCTAAAAGAAACGAGAAGGAACGTGCGAGTCGCTTCTGGGGACGCGACTCTACTTATACCCGTACTCAGTCAGTATATACATTTTTGATCTTATGATTTTTTAGAATTTTAGAAAAAAAAAAATTTTACATATTACATTTTTTTGCTACATCTGATATCTACATCTACATCTACAATGTATATTCTACATCTAACATGTAGATTGTACAATGTACATGTTCCATTTAGATTCTACATCTCCTCCGCTAGGGGTTGCTCGCGCACTGAACGCGGCAGAGTGTGCGAGCGCGAAGGAAAATTAGTTGCTTTGTCGTCGTCGGGAGGGGGGACAGGGGAAGCAACTGAAAATGAATTTCTTCATTCTGGCTATAATTATGATCCGATCTGATTTAGATTCGGCAATCTGGTAGGTATGGGCATTCTCTACGATACTGCGGATGGTGGCGGGGCGAAATTTTGAAATACACTTGTAGCAGTGTGATATCACATGAGTGTGGAAACCAAATTTGGTTGCCCTAGCTCTTATAGTCTTTGAGATCTAGGCGCTCAACAAGACGGACAGACAGACAGACGGACTCTTTTTTGAGTACGGGTATAAAAACGTTAACAGCTGATGGACTGTGTGTGATTTTTGTTTTTCCCATTTTCCGGTCTGTCATTGTTAACATTTTCGTAGTGATTCGTTGTCAAAATGATCGCACAGAAACGTGCGAGTTAGGAACATCCCAGATGGATGGTGGAATTGCAGGGAAATTTTCGGAACGTCAAATTCTTACGGACCATCCCAAAACTGGATGGGCGCCAGTTTGAAAACGCTAAAAAGTGGATATCCCAGGCAAAATTGTGTTCGATGAGAATATAAATGTTTCCATCTTGTGTGTGTTCGTGCGAATGCTATAGGAACTTATCGAATGTGACTTAAATTATACGCTGCACAGCAGGACATCAATCGAAAAGCGGCGGCAAAAGTTATTTTATGAGTGAGCAGTTTGTATTATACGCATCTGATAGACATATAAAACTTGGCTTGTTTAAAAGAAATTTTTTTCGAAACAACAAATATTTCTTACGCAGGTATAAAATTATTATCCATTTCGCAACAGAAATCACTTCCGCTTGATATTCCGCAATTCCATTCGGCGGTGCCACGCCCCAATTTTTACGGCTATTTGATTCAATAAACACACTTTAAACAATTTTATAGGCTGCTAACATTGGGACTGCGTCATGCTTCTTTGCGTCTTGCTGGAGACGCATTTTTTTAAAATAGGTTAAGCATAGGGCCCTAGTGGTGGCAAAAAGTTGTGTCGGTCTCTGATTATGTTCGCCTATTCGATATATTCGATTGCTTTTGCGCTTAACACCACATTTTTGCCTATCAGCGCAACTATCACCACTAATAACAACAAAAACTATTAGATAAAAAATTAAATTTTTGCCGCTAAAAATTTAAGGCTGTGCAAAAAGGTGAAAATATACATAAAATCATTAAATAAAATACTTGAAACTGATTGTATTATTATCATACGACATTTTTTTGATCCCCTGATGCAATGGTGGCAGACGAGACTGTGGCCTTGAGGGAGATCAAGAACGAGCTGGTGGAGCTAAAAAAACGTGCAGGAGTTGTTGGAGGAGCGCAAAAAGACAAATGTAATCTTAGAAAAATTTGTTTTGGCCATAAGGACGAATTTAAATCTTTAAAGTTAATATAGAAATAATAAAAATACCTGACAAAACTAAAAACATTTATTCATTACAAATAAAATATCGTTAAGTAAGCATTAATGTCCTCTTAAAGATGCTGCTATGTCATCCCGAATTTGTGAAGTCGATTCAGGCTGATCAGATTTGCTAAAATTTCTTTGCGTCCTTCATCAACTTCGACAGCGCGAAGTGATGCTCATGCATGCGGAATAAATTATGAAGAGAACAGCACACATTTATTATTCATGTGACCTTTAGGGGATTTTTTACAAAAAGATCTCTTGTCCCACACAGCACATCTCTGAGGAACGGTGGTAATTTTTGACAGATGTGAAACTCGGATTCCCACTGGCACCATCCATGAAAAATAGCTGATTTTTACACTGGGCTCGTCTGGTATCGATATCGGAATAGACGCAATGAAGCAGAAAAGGCGTTTACATTGGCGGACGTGCGTCTTGAATTTGGATTTGGGTGCTTGATGACAAGGAAAGAAACACAAATTTTTGAAAATCAACAGAATTATGCAAGACGGCAGAAAAATGGACGAAAGAGAATTGATTCTCATATTTATATATTATTTTCAGATATTTCATTGTAGAGTGGGAGTTCTTCTTCAAATTATGAAAACCACCGAAGTTCGTCTCCAGCAGTGTCTTAATGGCATCAGGGGGTCAGACAAATTTCTCATGATAATAATACAATCAGTTTCAGGTATTTTATTGAATGATTTGACGTATATTTTCACCTTTTTGCACAATAATACATTTTTAGCGCCAAAATTTGATTTTCGATCTACAAGTTTTTGTTGTTATTAGTGGTGATAGTTGCGCTGATAGGCAGAAAAGATCAAAAATGAGCAAAAGCAATCGAATATATCGAATAGACGCACATGAATCAGAAACTGACGCAACTTTTTGCCACCACTAGGGCCCTATGCTTAACCTATGTAAAAAAAACTGCGTCTCCGGCAAGACGCAAAGAAGCATGACGCAGCCCCAATGTAAACAGCCTATAACATTGACGAGGAGAATTTATTGGAATGGATCTGTTTTGAAAACACTGAATCGTGGTCATTTTTGACTGCTTCTACTCAATTCAATCAATGTTTTAAATACAATTATATATTCTATGTTTGAAGAGAAGCGGTTTGGGACATTTTGGGAGGAAGATGTACCCGAAAACAACGAGGCGTTTTTTAAGGATTGTTTTGTATAGCTATAGCATTGTATACTTTGGGCTCTTTTTCTGAGTGCAGAACAGTCGGAAGGCTGTCAGCCAACAGCGTGTGCAATATACTACATGAGTTTTGCAGAGAATTCATAAAAGAATTCCGAGAGGATAGTCGACAAACCGAGGTTTTCTGCCTGAGACAATTCTGACATATCAGATGTTTTGTTGTTGTTTTTACCATTTTCCTGTTTGTCATTGTTTACATTTTCGTAATGAACTCCGATTTTTTGTTGTGTAGGTCAAATATTTATGGTTGCATTTGACAATTACACTAGTCAACACGATTTTTCCTCAAGGAACAAAACGAACTTTTTCTTAAAGATTTGGGGCTTAGAAATGGTTTGATGATATTTTTTTTTTTTTCTATGGCAGAACTTTTTTTTAAAGAATTTTTGAAAACTGGTATTTTTTTTTAAGCTTTTTTCAGAGGTAGCGCTTGTTTTTTTCACATAACTCTAGTATCTTACGTCTGGTTGTAAAGAACTTTGATATTTTGAAAAGATAATTAAAACCGCTAGAAGTAAAGCCTAAATATTTTGTGATTACAGCTTACCGTCTTGGAAATATAAAGCATTGAAATGCAAAAATGATGATTTTTGTGCGGTATTTCTTATGAAATTTTGACTTTAAAAACTCAGGAAAAGTCGAAAAAAAATTATATCCTGTGTCCTCTATTTTTTTGTGTATAGGTGCATTAAATTGGCGTCGTTTAAGGTTTCGCTCATTAAAATCTATGGAGAGACTTTGGAGCTAAAATTCGTTAACCAAACCTAAAATATGGAAAAAATGAACAAAAAATACCTTTTTGAAGGCGGCGGGCCCAACTGCCAATTGGGAACAAAGCAAACGAACAAGGGTTGTACATTTGGTACCTCATCGCGCTCCTTTGTTAGGTTTGGTTAACGAATTTTAGCTCCAAAGTCTCTCCATAGATTTTAATGAGCGAAACCTTAAACGACGCCAATTTAATGCACCTATACACAAAAAAATAGAGGACACAGGATATAATTTTTTTTCGGCTTTTCCTGAGTTTTTAAAGTCGAAATTTCGTAAGAAATACCGCACAAAAATCATCATTTTTGCATTTCAATGCTTTATATTTCCCAGACGGTAAGCTGTAATCACAAAGTGTTTAGGCTTTACTTCTAGCGGTTTTAATTATCTTTTCAAAATAGCAAAGTTCTTTACAACCAGACGTAAGATACTAGAGTTATGTGAAAAAAACAAGCGCTTCCTCTGAAAAATTCTTAAAAAAAAATACCAGACTTCAAAAATTTTTCAAAAAAAAGTTCTGCCATAGAAAAAAAACCATAATTCTTTAAAAAATTTTAAATCTCCATATCTATCAGAAAAAGTCGGTTTGGATCCTTGAGGAAAAAAAAGT